GTGTAAACTAATCAAACCTATATGTTTTTGGCCTTTATTATATTTACCTAATAAAATCTTCATTATGCCAGTACTTAATTAACTCTTGAATCTAATGGAACCACCTTTTCTTTACCAATATCCATGGAACTACTTGCAAGTTTGCTTGTTAACAAAAAAAAAAAACTACTTGCAAGTTTGCAAGGTACCATGTTTCTCTTCTTTTTTTTTTTTTGGGTCACAGGTACCATGTTTCTCTAGTGTTGAGTTATTCTATTCGCGGAAATTGGCTCAATTGTCTTCTGAGTGATTCGATTGTTTGTGTTAATTTGCAAAAAGTAAGAACACAAGTAATTAACAAGTTCCCAGCAACGCGCTAGTACTTCTCGTGGGATACTCTTGACCCCAAACTCCACTAGAAAGAACAAGAGCAATACACACGCTTTATCCTTGGAGGTTTTAGTCTAGGGTTTCTTACAAGAGATTTCTTAGAGAGATAATGAGGAAAAACTTAGGTTAAAAAAGTAAACCCTAAGCGTAAGAAGAAACTTATGATTGTGATACTTGTGATGATGATCTCAAAGAAGTTTTCCTCCTTATATAGATCCCTTGTTTCCTTTTCTTCTTGTTTCCTTTTCCTCTTTGTCCTTGGAGATGCAACAACCTCCACTTGAGTCATTACCAGATCGCTGGTCCAAGCCTGTCTTTCTAACTCTTGCTGTCGAATGGGTCTTGGCATCCTGAAGCCCAAGTCTGTTTCCAACAGGATCCACAAACTCCACCTGTGGAATCAGACAACCATTCGACCCGAAATGTGAAACCCCAGCTGCTCTTGCTTGCTCTCTCTCTAGTGGTGAAGCACGGTGGAACTCCTCCGGTCCAGCCGTAGCTCCGACGTTTCGCCTCAGTCCTTGAACCGCAGTTATCCTCTCAGATTCCTCAGGAACATCTCTCAGCCTCCTCGTCTCTTGCCTTTGACGATTCAGTGAAAGGATCATCTGAGATCTGAGTAACCTTCGAAATTCTGATCACTGACTCTTCTGCTTCTTCCTATATCTGGTACTGCAACCCTCTCTGATGCCTCCGTCGTCTCTGTTCTGATAACCTGAGCTGACCCTTCAACTCTCTTCTGAACCAAAACCCTCTGAGATGACTCATCAGACGTCTCTGCAACCAAACCTTGAAGCCTCTACCTTTGAATCAACCTCTGATTCTTCTTCTTGAGTCAAGTAACTTCGATTTCCTTCTGCAACCTTTCTGATCTGAAATCCCTTTACCGATCTCTGTGAAACTAACCCAGCTTCGTCTTCCATTTTCA